AATGGACCAAATCTATTCAATTAAATCACACATTATAAATAATATCTCAAGCAATTGATTCTACAATTTAATTCAAAGCTAAAGCGCGAAATTAGGTAAAATGACCAAAACGCCCCTCGGGCCAATGTCTCGGAACCAGATGAATTTAATATTTTCAGAACCCTCGCACTCTCACGAGTCTAAACATATAAAGATATCTCAAATCGGAGGTTAAACACTCCCTCAAAACTCAATAATTCGATATATGAAGTTTTACCCATTTTTCATTAAAAAACTGGAATTAAACGAGGAAATTAAGAGATGATTCATGGAAGTTGGTCTAGATTGAGTGAGAATCACTTAACCAAATTTCCCAGTTAAAAATACATTCAAAAATCACCAAGAACCGAGCTCTAGAAGTCAAAATGCGATAAAATGGTGAAACCCTCGAAATTGGAATTTAATCTGTTTGCCCAGCGATTTGTTCTATGCTATGGCGGAGGAATTAATGCGATTGCTTAGAGTAAAATGAGACAGGCCAAAAATTGGCTTATGCAAATGCACTCAGAGGCATGCGATCGTGGAGTTAAAGGGAACCTGGTCTATGGGATCGCGTATAAGTGAAATGGCCTCAAGGCCCAGACCTCAAATGCTCTATAGGAACGCGTAACGAAGGATACGATCACACTGAAGGGGGGATTCAAAACTATGCGATCGCAGAGTGAAGTATGCGATCGCATTGAAGGAAAAACTTGGCCAGATCAGGGGACTTTATGCGATCACGGAGCACCTATGCGATCGCATAGAAGGATTTCTCTGCAACAGAATACCAGCAATTTCAACAGCCCTTTTGAGTTCGGAATTGCTCCGTTGGGCATCCGAAACACACCCGAGGCCCCCAAGACCTCAACCAAACCTACAAACATATCCCACAACATCATTTGGATTTTCACCAATCCTCAAACCACCTAAAACAACTCCGGAAATATGAATTACTCATTGATTTCAACTTAAAGTTTCCAAAACTTAACAAAAATCATTTTCAATCAAAAACCTATCCAAAACACGTCCGATTGATCTAAAAGTTTGCACGCACGTCCCAAATGACATGTCGGTGCTACAGGAACTTTCAGAGTTCCGTTCCGACCCTCAGATAAAAAATTCACTATCGGGCCGGATGTTCCAAATTTCCAACTTTCGGCATTTCTAGGTAAATTGAGCTACGGACATCCAAAATACAATCCGGACAAGCTCCCAACCCCGAAATCACACTACGGAGCTAACGGTACCATCATATTTCCATTCCAAGGTCGTCTTGACATTGTTCCAACTACGGACCAGTTTTCCAAGACGTAAGCTCCCAAATAGGGACTATTTGTCCAAAAACACCTTGGATTTAAATACCGAACCTTTAGGAAAATCAAAATGACATAAATAAACTTAGAAGAAGCAGTTTACGGGAAAATGGGGCGCAAGTTCTAAAAACAACCGGCCGGATCGTTACAATGCTAGCTTTGGTCCTGACTTTAGTCCTGACTTTATTACAACTTTCTTGACTGAAAATATTGATCTTGATATTTTGAGTGATAAATTAGTTCCAATCACATACAATGAAGCAATGATTTCAATAGATGCTAGTTTTTGGAAAGAGGCTATTAAAAGTGAATTAGACTCTATAGTTTCTAATCTCACTTGGGACTTAACTGATTTGCCTAAAGGTTGTAAACCCATATGTAGCAATGGGATACTTAAGAAGAAATTGGGACCTGATGGCACAATTGAGAAATATAAGGCTAGACTTCTTATTAGGGGTTTTAAACTTTTAATCAAAAGAAAGACAATGATTACTTTGACACTTATTCTCCTATATCTAAGATAGCGACTATTAGAACTCTTGTTGTTGTAGCTGCTATTCATAATTTGGTAATACATCAAATGGATGTTAAAACAACTTTCCTAAATAATGATTTAGAGGAAGAGATCTATATATCTCAATCTGAGGGATTTATGATCCAAGGACAAGAGAATAAAGTATGCAAATTGAGGAAGTCTTTGTATGGTCTAAAGCAGACACCCAAGCAATGGTATGAAAAATTTAATAGCGCATTAGTGGATAATAATTTTGTTGTTAATTCATCCGATACTTGTGTTTATTCCAAGATGATGGGATCAGATTGCGTTATTATATGTTTGTATATGGATGACATGTTAATCTTTGTCCCTAATGTGAATGTTATTAATGAGACTAAAAATTTTTTGTCTTCTAAATTTGAAATGAAAGATTTTGTAGAAGCCGATGTGATTTTAGGGGCTAAAATCAAAAGAACTTCTAATAGTTTTTCATTGTGTTGGTATCATTATATAGAGAACATGTTGAAAAGGTTTAATTATTTTGATGTAGCACATGTGAGAACTCCTTATGATCCTAGCATACACTTGAAAAATAATAAGGAATCTAGTATTTCTCAAACTGAGTATGCTAAGATAATTGGTAGTGTAATATTTCTCATGAATTATACACAACCTGATATTGCTTATGCTATTAGTAGATTGAGTGGATATACTCACAACCCTAGTAGTGAACACTGGAATGCTCTTCATCATTTGCTAAGATATTTGAGAGGTACTATGGATTGGTGTTTGCATTTTAATAATTTTCTACTATTTTAAAAGGATTTAATTATGCAAAGTGGGTACTGACAATGATAAAGTTAGCTCCGCTAGTGGCTATGTGTTCACTTTGGGCGCAGATACTATTTCATGAAAGTCTTCAAAATAGACTTGTATAGCATGATCTACTATGGAGTTAATTCATTGCTCTTGAGTTGCCATGGCAAGAAGCCGAGCGGTTGAGAAACTTATTGGCAGGCGTGCCTTTGTGGGGAAGGTAAGCTTCACCAGTTTCTCTACATTATGACTCACAAGCAGCAATCGAAATTGCCAAAAATAGTGTGTACAATGGAAAAAGAAGACATATCCTCATTAGGCATGGTGCGGTAAAATAGTTGTTGAAACATGGTGTAATTTCCTTAGAATATGTAAGATCCGAAAGAAATTTGGTGGATCCTTTAACCAAGGGTTTGGCAAGGAGAGTTATCCTTGAAACGTCGAGGGGGATGGGGCTAAAGCCCATGGATTGAGGCAGTATGGTGGATACCTGTTGGTGGTCAAACGAAGCCATATGAGACCTCAATATGCACTACATTTCCTATCCCCTATGGCGTGTGGTAGTGCTTTGTAAGGTTGAGCTTATTTTTCTCTTAGTGATTCCATAGCCTTGAGGTAGTCAATGTGTAGATAAACTTGATGGAATTACCTACGTGATTGTAAAGGTGGGGTCCCCTTTTATGAAAGACTTGGGATGTCTTCTAGAGCACTCATGAGACCCAAGGTATATGCATGATCATAAAAACACTTTGTTAGTATCGTAGAATTTGCATAAAATTAAGGATATGGTATGTTTTGTGGGGGTCTCAGCTAATGTCCATTTAGTTCAAGGGTATTTCACTTTATGAATGTTAGTTGTTGCCTAATTTCACTACGTGTCAATTCAAATTGAATGATATTGACGTTTAAGTACACGTTCCTTCTGTTACCCATAATTGTTCTATTTTTGTCTTTGCATTAGTCTGGGATTGTTGGAATTATTTATAATGCAAAATCAAAAATTTCCTTTTGAAATTCCATTTACGACCAATAGCCATGAGTTTTTTTTTATTTTCAAATGTCCTATCTATTTTCAAGTGGCCTCTTGCCTGAAGCCTTAAAGCCAAGTATTGAATGGCTTTGATAAATGACTATGCAAATCTGCCAAATGTCTTCATGCATGGAAGACAAGAAACACTTGCCCATATTGGAGCCAAATGTCTTCATGCATGGAAGATACGATACACTTGTCAATATTAGAGCCAAGTGGATTAACATAATGAGACAAGTGTGAAAAGTTTCTCGACACTTGTCATACATGCAACTTCCTTAATTTTCTATAAATAGGCTATGAATTAGCCATCATAATCACTCAATCTTAACCAATATCCATCTTGCTAATCATTAATATTCTTCCTACAACATTATTTAATTTCTGTAACAATTACAGAAAAATACCTTCATCTTCTCTTCTTTCTGGGCAATTGTTTGTGCAAATTCTAAACTTTCAGCCACGAGTGCACGTGTTTGGAGGTGCTGTGGAACCTTGGGGAGCGACCAACATTAACGATTTGCACCTAGTCGGGCCGAAATCGCTTTCGCGGCAGTGGCTTGCCACGACACAATATTCTTGATAAATTGTTCTTCTTTCCTTGTTGCTACTTAGTCAATATTATCTACTCATTTTTCTTACACTAGGTTATGGGCAGAGGCGGCTAAACAACACGTAGGTCATAAAGCTTGCTTTTAATTGGAAGCCCTTCAATAATAATTTTAATAGATATTTTTTAGGATCTATTTTTTAACTTTTTGAGATAGCAAAATTATTACTTAGTTTTATATAATCAATTTAATTTCTTCTAATAGGTTGGTGACTTGTTCATCTAAAACACTCCCCTATATTTTCTGATTTAGTTTTTCTATTGTTTGCAAAACAATTTATCAGGATGTCCTTTTTGAGATTGTACATTGCAACTCTTCCTTTTTTTTCTTTTTTTCTTTTTTGGGAATGACAAGATTTATATTTTCTAGTTGTCATAGTCAAATCGTAATTACTATCTTAAAAAATATACCTATGAAGTAAAAATAACAAATTTAAGATAAAAAGATATTAAAAAAATCAGAATGAAAGAACTAGATTCAAAAAGTTTGGAGACTTAATTCAAAATTTCGTAATGTTGCTTCAATTATTTTTCGCAAGCTTTAAACGTAATAATTGAGATAGAAGAGAAAATGAGACGCAACTTGTAGACTAGGTTTCTTCGTATATCTTTGGTCCACACAATTATTCACATTTTCTTCAATTATTCATGCATTCAAATCTTAATATAAATAGAATCCAAGATTACATCAGTTTCTTCATCCCTTAATTTCAAACTAAACTTTGAACAAAAAAAAAAAAAAGAAATATGGGTTCTAAGGCATTTCTGTTTCTTGGTCTTTGTTTGGTTATTTTTTTCCTGATAAGCTCTGAGGTAGTAGATGCTGAGTTGGTTGAGACTTCCAACTGTAAGCTTACTTAAAAATCTCTTATCTCATTATTTGGTATAGGATTTAACTAATTATATATGCTAAAAATTTTAAAAATTTGTAAGCTGTTAGTATAATTTAATATGTTGTAATATTGAATATTCTTTAGCCTTTCAAATTAGTGTTTATCAGCTAATAAAGCTTAATTTGATTTCCACATAGAGCTAGTAGTTGAGTTATACTTTTGTATTTACTAATTAACCGCTATAGGGAAACCAAAAAAAAAAAAAAACTCTTACTATATACTCTCTCTATTTTATTTTATTTATCTTAATTTGACTGGATACAAAATCTAATTAAGAATATAAGTAAAACTTCTGAATCTTCAGATCTTAAACTAAAGTTTTATAAAAAAAATATACTTAAGGATAAAAAAATGGTAACTAGATTCAAATGAGCAACAATAATTGAATCTTAGTTTGAATCTTAATTCAAATGGTAACTAAGCTCATTTGAATCTAGTTACCATTTCAAACTATTGTGAGAATATCATTTGAATCTTGTAGTATTAAACATATCTTGTATAAGTAGAGTCATAAAGGATAAAAATGAGAAAGGTAGAACTTACAACGTATTTATTTAGTAAATATAGAAAGAGGTATTTGAAAATGTTTTGACATGACTACAATTTGGAGCTGTTTTTTAATTTTTGTGAGTGATTTGATGTGAAAATTTTAACAAACAACTTTTGGAGTCTTTCATATTCTGAAAATTTTCAAAATTCAATTCAAATAAAAATTAAAATTTTCATGATCAAATACTGATTTCGGAAAAAAATAAAATTTGTTAATGGCCAAATGAACCATTTTTTAATTTTCACAATTGATGCAGCAATGAAATTGGATAACAAGAATGCAATACACGTTGACGGACGTGGCGGATACAATGACGTTGGTGGTGATGGACATCATGGTGGTGGTCGCCGTGTTGTTCGTCGTCGTCGTCGTCGTATAATTATTAGGAGGAGATGCCGCTATGGTTGCTGCAAGAAAGGATACAATGGTTGCAAAAGGTGTTGTTCATACGCAGGTGAGGCCATGGATAAAGTCACTCAAGCCCAGCCTCACAACTGATTATTATGTGTAATATATAAGGAGTTTAAGCTATATATATCGTTAGTGTATATAACTTATACGTTGTGACAAGATGTAATAATTTTGCTACTTTAGACCTTGCTTGTAACAAGTATGAATAATGCCCTTCGGTTCTTATGGATGGTGGGTCATGTAATGTTTTGTTGTACAATATATTGTGAGTTCGTAGGATGTTTTTGAGTAAGTGTGAGCGGTTGGTTGGGAGCCCCGAGGGCTCGGGAGTGTTTTCGAAAGTGGTTCGGAGTGTTTTGAGTTTGAAATCTGGTATCTGCTGGTATTTTCGCAAATGCGACCATTTCTTCGCATTTGCGAAGCTGTTTGATTCCTCTTCCTTCTCGCAATTGCGAGACTTCCTTCGCAAATGCGAAGTCTCAGGCGTTTCTTTCTCAGTTCGCAAATGCGAACATTTAGCCGCAAATGCGACCAGTTTCCCTTCCCCTTTCCCCATCGCAAATGCGACGCCTCAGTCGCAAATGCGACATCCGCCCCTCTTCCCCAGCTTCGCATTTGCGAAGCCTCCCTCGCAATTGCGAGACCCCCAGCTTCTTCAGCCCCTTCGCAAATGCGAAGGTCTCTTCGCAAATGCGACCCTCCAGTTGATTCTCCTCCTTCGCAAATGCGACCATTTCCTCGCATTTGCGAGTTTCTCCCTTTTTCCTTCCTCTTCGCAAATGCGAAGATCCTGTCGCATTTGCGACATCCGACAGTGTCTTAAAAATAGACTTACCCGATTTTCTTCAGTCATTTTGCAATTCTTCAACACCCAAAAGCACACGGGCGTTTTTCCTCTCATTTGATTCTTCTCCAATTCAATTGTAAGTTGATTCCAACTCATTTTCTTCAATTTCCATCATCTTCTAACATGATTTCTCATTGAATCAAAGCTTTTTCATGGTTAAAAATGGAGTTTAGCTAGAAACTAGGGTTTTTCATATTTTGAGCTTTTGGACCCCAAATTGAGGTCCGATTTCAATTCCAATCATTGGTATGAACTCATGGGGGCATGGGTAACTTGGTTTTGGTCCGAACCTCGAGTTTCGACCACGTGGGCCCAGGGGTATTTTGGGAATTTTTGGGAAAAAACTTGGGAAACTCATCTTCATGCATTCAAATCAGTTCAATTAGTTTTTGTTGATTCATTTGGGTAATTTATGACTAGATATCGTTGTGTGGGAGTCAAATTCTAAAGGAAAGACGGTGTTAGAAGCTTGAATTGCTATTTCGGCATCGAGGTAAGTGTTTGTTCTAACTTTGGTTCGAGGGAATAGGATTAGGATATTATTTGTTATGTGCTACGTGGTGTCGGCGTATAGGTTTGGTGACGGTTATCTATGCGCCCGAGTCAAGCATGACCGTGAGTCTTAATTGCCTTTGTTCAAATGTTATGATACGGATTCCTAATTGTTTGAATTGAATAATACTGCATAACTGGTTGAAGTTAACTGAAAAGTATGAGCCTTATTCGGTAAAACGAAAAATCTAAACTTCAAAGATGATTCCTACTTGTTAAGAGAAATTAGTGAAACGATTGTGGACTTTAAATTCCTTAGAGCGATGGCTCAAGTTTTATCACAGAATTGTGGAAGTTTTTTTTGAGATGGTTATACCCTTTTGGAGCATTGGCTCAAGTGGTGAGCGAGGTATGAAATGAAAGTGGAAGAAAGGGGAAGAAGTAATAAACTGTTTCTTTGCCAGATTTATTTATTTGTTTACATTCTTTGCCTGATTTATTTATTTGCTTACATTCTTTGCCCGATTTACTTATTTGCTTACAATCCTTGTCTGAATTATTTATTTGCTTACATGCCTTGCCTAGATTATTTGTTTGCTTATATTCCTTGCCTGAATTATTTGTTTGCTTACATTCCTTGCCTGATTTACTCGCTGTTTGTGCCCCTTTTGCCGGGTTTTAGAGGATCTTATTTGACTTGTTGTAATTCCTTGGAGTAAGAAGCTTATGCAAATTTGCACATATATTTAATAAACATACGTAGGGTCGGGTTGCACGCCGCAACATATACTTATTGAAATATTCGTAGGGACGGATTGCACGCCGCAACATATACTTATTGAAATATTCGTAGGGACGGATTGCACGCCGCAACATATACTTATTGAAATATTCGTAGGGTCGGATTGCACGCCGCAACATATACTTATTGAGATATCCCCTTATTACTGTCCTCCTTATTGTTATTGTTACACCCCATAGCATGTCCCTCCCCCTTTTATTACTGCGTAGTTCTACCTTTACTTGCTTTGTATACATATATCTTGCACAGGTGTAATTGGAAGTAGGTCCTGTCTAGCCTCGTCACTACTTCATGGACCGGGGTTAGGCCAGGCACTTACCAGCACATGGGGTCGGTTGTGCTGATACTACACTTCTGTGCTCTTTTTGTGCACAGGTTCGGGAACAGCTTTCGGAGTGCAGCATCGGCAGTAGATAGGGCGTACGCTATCCGTTTGGGAACTTCAAGGTAGCTTGCTGGCGTCCTTGAGCCCTCCAGTCTCCTTCTCTACTTTAGCTTGTTTATAATTCAGACAGGCTCTATCGTATCTTTTGTTTCAAACGTTTGTATGTAGTGATTCTTAGAAGTCCGTGACAGCTGTGACATTCCTTTCTTGGGTAGAGGATTTCTGTTGGTATTTTTTCGCATTTTGCATTTATAATATTAGCTAAGTCTTCCGCAGTATTGAATTATGAATATAAACAGTTGAAGTTCCTTTTAAAATAACTGTTGTTTTATTTAGTGAATTGCAATAGAGTTGTTTGATTAATAGTTCAATGCATGGTTTAGTGGCTTGCCTAGCTCCCACAGTAGGCGCCATCGCGACCCCGATAGTGGAAAATTTGGGTCGTGACAAATTCTCTTTTTATCCATGCCCGTAAATTCACAATCCTAGCAGAGATGGAACTAGAATATAGCTTACAGGTTCTAGTCGAACGCAATAATTTTATTCTAAATTCTGTTTTTGTTTTAAAAAATTTATTAAATATGTACAAACTATTAAGATAACAAAATAACTTAAAGGGAATAAAATCTCAACGGTGCATTCATATTATTTGCAGCTTCTTCAAGAAATCTATCAAATTGAGCAATCAAAAGTTTTCACGCACTTCGTTTAGTATCTATTCCTGAAACTTTTCTCCAAGTTGTCATTGTAGTTTAATATATACATTTCTCCCTTCTGGTTTGAGATTGTTTACCTGGAAAATAGTAACTACAATTATATTTGATTTTGTGGTTCTAAAAATACGTAATTTATTTTAATAGTAGTTGTTAGATAGTAGATCCTCAATGTAAGTAAAGAAAATAAGAAATACAAACCAATAGGGTCATAAAGCTGGGGCTCGAGCTGACTGGAGCAGGGCCTCGAGGTGTAGATGGGGCTAATAGCAATGAACAATTGATAAAGAATCAATAATAATGAGGACCTCAAAGCTGGCCTTTCGAGGTTAATAATGAGCAATAAATATGTAGAACAATTGTTTAAGCAAAGAGCAGAGAATGTAGTATTGTATTCAATGTGTTGTGTAATAGTCCGAATCCCTTTCCATGACGATCGTTGATTGTACTGCCCCGAGATCAACCATAGTGGGCCTTCGATTTGCTCTCTCGAGGGACACACCTCGGGGTTGTTCCTCACGGTCTGCTTCGGGGTTCTCGAGGTTGGGCGTGGAGCGGCATAGTATCCCCAAAATTGAATTCCCCAATTTTGGTCGTATACAGATAGTCCTGGCGTTTCTTAGAAAAAATCATATGAAATAATCTTGAGTTCTTGCCTTTTTGATGCTCCCATTATGATGTCAACCATGTGAGACCATTAAATGTCATGACAGAAAATTTGTACAGGGGTCTTATCAAATATAGTTCTCGAAAATCCCACGAACCGCTATTGATCGCCCTTTTAACAATTTCCTACCTTCACCTTTCTTTTGTGTTCAATTCGAGACCCCAGAAGCACATCCGTTGCACTATTTTCCTTCCACCGAGTTTTATCATAGAAGAAGGGTTTTTACCACATAGGTTTTTAACGAGGCAACATCTGTAAGTTGCTTAAGGGGAAACTCCGCAAAAAATATTCAAAGACTATCCCGGCGGCCGACTTTTCAAGGCGAGGGGAATTTCCCCGGAAAACTGCCTGCTCGAAGGAGTTATGAAAAACACCAAATAAGTTTTCTTATAGGGAGATGATGTATCGGGCCAAACGGTCGATATCGTCAGACCCCTACCAAACGGAAGCATGTACTATTGTATTGGGCAATGAAAAAGCACATTTTTCCATGAAAAGAGAGAGAGAGAGACTCCTTCTCAGAGTAAGGCAACATGAAAATCGTCGAAGCAACGAAACTCGACCTAATATAGATCGACTCAAAACATCAATACATGTATTGCACCAATGGATCAGAGAATATCTTCCAACATCACTTTCTCAAAAAGGGAAAATCACGGTATACTCTCGGCAAAAGCCTCTCCACCAAATACGTCCCTATACACGGAGATTTAAACTATTTGGTGCCCCCATGACCCCAGGGTCGGAACTCCGGGTTCATGAAGCCCCTACAAAGCAACTTCGAGTTCATAAGGAGTTGTGTTCAAGCTTAAGCAAACTCGGTGACTCAGAGACTATCATTAATCGCCATACGCTGGAAAACCTGAAATTGTAAGACCCCTAGCGGGAAGACTTGGCGTAACTAGATCTATTCTATATCACACAAACTGTAAGACCTCAACACGCATGAAAAACTGTAAGACCTCATCAAGCATGAAAATCCTGAAGCTTAAGCTATACGTCACATTTGTAAGAATTCCTAAAGGGCATACCCTCGGCGTAGACACCAAAACTATCACCCGGAATCAAAAATGGCTACGGCTAAACACACATGAGTACGATCAAAACGACTGATACGGCCAAAATAACACGACATGGGGATGCCCGACTGTCACTACACAAAATCATAGGCCACTACTCCGAATATACTTCAGAAAGAACCGATTATAATAGGTTTCCCTCAATAGGCAAAAACGGAGCTCCAACCATGTAGGCTCCAAAATCGCAAAGCTTCTATCAACTCAACCTATGAGCTATGAATCTTCCGAGGTGCTCAAAATATCGCCGACAATGAGGTACTTCTAGAATCGATGATGGGTCAGGC